AAATAAAGAATGAAGGCTCTGGACAAAGGTTAAGGAGACAGACAGATATGTGAATTATTCCAGTTTGGGGAATGGATGAAATTGTTGAGGGGGAACAGGAGAGAAAGGGAACCATGAAGATGGGGATAAGGGAAGAAAACATAAAGTAGGGGGAAGAAGTGGGGGTTCAGAGACATGGAGGAAAGCTTCTTATAGAGATTATGAGGAAGTAAAACCAAGGAAACCTGGAGGGCCCTGTCTCAGGAGATTTAAGGAAAAAACTTGCCTGATGCTGTAAAGTTTACAAAGGTGGTAAGTTTAAGAAAAAGTGATGAGGAGATCATTTTGGGTCCAGGAGTGGGAAAAGAAGTGTTAAGATGTGAGTGAATGGGGAGGAAGTGGGAAGACCACTTCCAAGGAATTTCATTATGAAGGGAAGAAGTCAGACTGAAGAGGCTGCATGGCTGGGGAAGGTAGCGAGGTGAGGGGGGTATTGAGAAGAGGAGATAGGGTCAGGAACACAAGAGAAGGGTTAGGCCATAAAAGGACCAAGATTTCTTCCTCTCAGAGAGGATCATGGGAAAGAGGATGAGTAGAGATTTAGAAAAAAAGTAGGAAAAATAAGGAAGCTGAGGTAGATCATAGGAGATGGCTTCTATCTTCTTAGTTGAGTGGTAATTGAGACCATCTTCTGGAAGGAGGGGATTCAGGGTGAAGTTGGTGGCCTAAAGAGAGTATTATTGGGAAAATGGCTTCAGGGGGTACAACAGGGGATAAAAAAGTTAGGAAAAAAAGGATTGCCAGGCAGCCTTTTGGACTGCCGAAGGTAGAAAACACATGGTTATGGTTTTCTGGCTTTCTGCTGAAGTGCTCAGAAACCTTAGAGGAGAATAGTGAATGATGGAATCCATCCAGGAGAAGGGGCTGACAAAGGAGACAACAGGAGGTAATGAGGGGAGGGATTCTGGGCAGCCGTCGGCACACCATGAACACAGCTCATCACCACATGGTGTCTGTCTGGTGAGGGAAAGGAGTGAGCCAAGAAAGAAGCTGATAAACTGGGAAACATGGAGGGACTGAGGACAAGGCTCCACAGGAGCTAAGGGAGCAGGCAGACAGTAGAGGAGGAAGCAGGTGGAGGCTTCGACCAAGGAGGCAAATATCTGAAGGTTAGAGCAGTTCAGAGTGGTGAAAACTGAGAAAGAGAAAAGCAGCCCCTGACCTCCAGGAGCTGGGCTGGCACTCACAGCTGGGCCTTGGTGTTCTCCTGTTGAACATCAATGATTTCATGGAAAATCAACATCAGACAAGGCCACTTTATGACCACGGTGGAACAAGACAGAAACACGGCCACTCAGTAATCATATCTGAACATAGACAAAGCATGAACTTCGGCCAAACCAGAAAATATCAAAAAGCGCAGGATATCAAAAATACCAGAGTGACTGCTGCTTCTTTCCCAATCGCAGCTTTAGCTTTGCTTTAGTCTGCCTTCCCCGTAGTTCAGATTTAAGATATCCAGTCATAGAGTTATCCTGCTTCTCGACAGCAACAAATCCAGAGCAAAGCCCTGCTTCTTTCAACCCTCCCCCAAATCACCTAACACAAACCCAAGTCCTGTAAGTCTTTTCTCCTAACACCCTCTTATACTGAGCTGCCCCACGGTTCTCCATGATGTGAGGTCTCCCTCACTGCAACAAGCAACTCTAAGTGTGTTCCTGGTGGTCTCTGGCTAGATGACAAGGATGAGTCAGAAGATGCTGCCTCGCCATTAGTATGGAGTGGTATGGAGATGGTGATTACTGAAGTCAAGAATAAAAAGCATCTCCTTGTCAGGCTGATGAGAGAGTCATACACAGGAATATTCCTGAAAGTGACTGCAGGGAACAGGGCTCAAAAGATGGTGAGGTAGGAGATGAAAAATAAAGCCACTGAGGAAAGTGGGAGAGCATCCTGGAGTGGAGGAAAGATGACTGGAGCAAGTGGCACAGGCGTCAGGAGAGAAGAGGCATCTGTAGGTGCAACAATGATATGGAAGGTGAAGTGGGGAATGGGGTGTATTCCCAGAAAGCACCATGCCCCTTCATGCCTTTGCCCATGGTGCTCAGCCCTGGTTTGTACATGTGAGAATTTCCCCCTCTCCCCCAAACACAATTTAGCCCCCA